TTTGACACCGCCTAAGGCTGAACGATGCTTGGCAACCAATGTGGTTTAATAAGGCGCATAGTGTATTATTTTGCACCAATTCTTATTTACCACTTGATTCTAATTGCAAAGCCAATCCGCAGTTCATCTAGATTTCCATTTGCCTATAAAAGGCGTGGATAAGGAATGATCTGTTCGCGAACTCCCTATATTCCTACTTAAATACAGTTGGTGTCTTTATAATGAATCGTTTAGGCGTTTCGCATGGCAAGAGATAAGGACAACTGGAGCGAGGCGCTGTGGACTTGACGATCATTTTGTCTATATTCTAGTCCAGATTCTAACCGGCATAGTAGCTTGCTCACCTGCCGACAGAAATGATATGAACGAATCACCATGCCACTGAATTGATGGCCCACATTGTAAGAAATTATGATCAAGTCTAATAAGCTTGCATTTGAGGCATCGTCTCGCCGCGTTTGTGATACCTGGAAGATGTCGTTCTGTCTGCAGACGAGCAGGATACCTTGCCCGGTAGTCTTTAAGACAGAAGTCCAATCACGGCGAGGATATTTACCGGCATGAGCTGCTTTGGAGACCACCTGCCATCAGTGTGTGTCGAGAATGACTTATTAATCAGACTTGTGTTGAGGTCGCTGAACGTACCCATTTAAAAAGTTTGTTTTCCTGAGTTTAGGGTTGTAAAATTGGCACGCGGAAAAAGTGCGACTTAGATTCACAAAATTACAACTCAGGCTAGGAAAAAGCAAGCTAAGTGAATAATGGAGGCATTGATTTGTTTCGTTCCGTGTTATTAAGGAGATATCGTTCTGTCTTCAGGGTGAGCAATGTACTTTGCCATGTGTGCTTGGGAGTGCAATAATCCAATCACGGAGAGCATTATTGCATTCCCGTTTGAATTATCACGATTTACTGGCGTGAGTTACTTTGATGACAACCTGACACTAGGGCGTGTTGGGGATGACCTGGCAATCGGACTTGTGATAAGTTCGTGAACGTAACCATAACAAAAGTTGTTTTCTTGAGCTCATTTGCTTTGATCTTGGTGCTTCGAATTGTGGCAGTTCAATCCAGCTAAGTTGCAGCTGCAAGTGTAATTGCAGCCAAGGTGATGGTGGTGCTGGTGGTGGTGTTGGCATTGGTAAATGACAATGGTGCCATCACACGAACTGTGTCAGCACTTCTTCATTAGGCATTGTCGGGGTGTCTACACTTCCTCATATCTCGTTCAGAGGTAGCTTTGCGAATGAGTAGAAGCAAGAGGGGAGTGGTAGCATAGGCGGTGTGAAGGGCGTTGTGCCCTTGGTGTGTCGACCGAAGAGGGGCAAGAATCGCATTAACAATCACGCAGTTGAAATAAACTTTGCATTCGTATAACTGTAGTGTCGTCACTGTATTTAT